CCCAGAGCCTAAACAGATGGCAAAGCTTTCTCTGTTCCAAGAAGCATCCTCTGCAGAAACATACAGGTCTCTCCGTGCGGACACCCTTCTACGGTGTAGAACTTCTTACTAACGCCTTCTCTTTTGTATATATATATATTAATTCACTAATATTTAAATAAAATTTATTATTATATAAAATTAAAAATTTTGAGTTTTAATTTTTCTTAAATTAAAATATATATATTAATAAATTTCTACTAATATATATATTAATATAAATTTTGAGTTATTTTGAATTAATATAAATTAAAATAACTTATTGAATTTTTTATTAAAAAAATAGGATTTCTGGAAACTTAACTCAAAATTCAGCCGATTAGTTTAATTTCCAAAGCTTAAATAGATCTAGGATGAAGTTTATAAGGAATTTTAGATTTGTAGAGATGGAAAAATTAGTTGTGCATATATATATATATATATATTTTTTTTACAGATTTGGATTCAAAACAGCAATCAAATGAAAGGTAAGCTCCTATAGTGGTTTATATGATGTTTTGTTATCAAGCTTCGGCAAAAAAAAAAAAATTCTATATCCAAGAACATGTAAATGCTACTAAAACAAAACTGTGCAATGATAAAACGAGGAATAAAAGAATTTTCTTGTGGAGATTTTGAGCTAGAAACGAAGAGGAAAGAGATTTACCGAAATCTGCAAGAATTCTGGAGAAAATAAAGAAGAACGACGATGAGTGTGCTCTCTGAGGAAATAATGAAATGCCTATATTTTATATATATATATATACACATGTGATATTACCTCCCAAGTGCATGTTTTTTTTAAACATTCGGCCCATTAAAAAAGAAGTGTTCGACCCATTACAAAACTTGTAAGGTAGACGAGAACCAACGGAGACAGGAAATCTACCAATCGTAAGACAACGCGAGAACAAGGTGCGTTCCGATTTTCTGCCCATCTTTTTCTTCCTCGAGATCGGACGGTGGTCGGGAACCGGCCACCAGAGTCGGAAGCCCAGATGCCGCCGCTCACGCAACTGATAAAGCAATTATTGTTATTATTATTATTATTATAGTTTATATCTTTAAAATTTTAATGTTTAGTCTAACCTAAATAATTTTATGGATGGTAACGCTTATAGGTGGTGTTTTCAAAAGCTTACATTAACAAAACTTTTTTTGAAACATGAGCTATGATAAAAATGGTTCTCTTTATATATATGCATAGTGTATAATTATTTTTAAGATAATGGGTATTTTTTAATTTTTAACTATACAGTACATGTACACACAAATATATATTTATTTTCTATCTTTTTTCGGGTATTGAAATAATTTTAAATCACATATTTTTCAAACATTTACATTGGGTTCTCTTAAAAGACATATATTGGGCCTATAAGTTTTGGGATTTACGATCGTACGGTTCACCGAAGAAGATCCTGGTTGACCATCGTTTGCGTTCATTGGTGAGCTGAACAAATAACAAGTTCGTATTTGTATATGTTGTTACTTGTTATCTTCCATGGAATGATCTTCCGAGTTCGTGTATCTATTAGTTTTGGTTCTGTAAGGATTTGAAATCTGTAGATACGTTTGGTTTGTCTTTGGTCGAAGGTTCTCTGATGGTGAAATCTCTGGAAAGCGGTTTCTTATTCTGCAACTTGTGTGGGACGATGCTGATTTTGAAATCGCCCAAATACGCGGAGTGTCCTCTTTGCTTGTCCAAGCGTGATGCAAGAGGTAGAAAATTTACAAAATTCGTAGAGATTGTTTGGTGTTTATACGTATTTGGCAATGCCAAGTTTGTCTGGGCTTGATCGATTATAAGCTTTTCATTGTTTTCAGAGATCATCGGCAAAGAAATATCTTACACAGTTAGTGCTGAGGTAACTTTTGTTTGATCATCTGTTCTGTGAATTGTTTGCAAATGCCTTTAGGGTTTAGGGTTTAGGGTTTAGGGGTATCATTTCTCATGCCGGTAATGGACATTGTTCTGTCATTGTTTTTGTTCCAGATCTGAGATCAAAACCCTGATGGTTATATTCATAAAACCTTTTCGCTGAGGTTAGTCGGTTGCTAGAAGGACCTTGTAGGAACTCAAATGATTTCCATGTGCAGGATATCCGGAGAGAATTGGGCATATCACTGTTTGATGAAGGACACGCACAAGCCGAGAGTGAACTGCCAAAGGTTGAAACTTGAACAATGATATCCATCCTAGACTATGATGTATCGTGTGTTCTCGTTTGATTAATCAGTTGTTCTCTGTTTTGCAGATCAAGAAGACATGCGAAAAATGTGGGCACCCGGAACTCGTGTACACAACCAGACAGGTACCCTCGGCTTTTCCTTTGTCCTCAAATCCCCGTGTTTGAATTGTTGTTTTGCTTTCGAGGTTTCACAACAGCCTTCCTCTAAATTTGTGGAATGCAGACAAGATCGGCGGACGAAGGGCAGACCACGTACTATACTTGCCCAAACTGTGGCCACAGATTCACTGAGGGTTGAGAAAGATATTCTCTTGCTTCTAACATTGGTGTTACACTTGCACTTTGACCAGAATATCGAGTTTAAATTACATGGAATAATCAAAATCTGTATGATGTGATTTAACTGCATCTCCCATGTATTTTAACAGATTTTGTCATGTTTTTAATCAGGTTGTTGTTATACCATGAAACATCATTTATAATTATGTCATCAATTTCCTATTATATGCATTTTGATGTATATATCTGTGGATTTTTCCATGAAGATAATGCAAATATCGATTTAGTTTATATAGATATTCTTGTGGAACAAACCAAACAGCGAATACTTGGAATTTATACAGAAAGTATGTTTAGTTAGCAATTTAATAAAAAGGTAATTCCAGAGAGAAAAAAATAAAAATGAAACCTAATATTTTAGATATGAGAACAAGGAGACCGAGAAGAAGCAAAATGGGTGGGACAGAGCCGAAGATATGGACAAGCTGACCGAACAGAGACCCACCGAGTCAGTCATTGGACTATTTCATGGCGATTATAATCACATCTAGGCCCATTTAACTTGTGAATTGATTATTAGCTTGGCCCAATCTATAAACGACAGATGTCAAGGGCCTCTTCTTACATGATCTCTAGTGTGTGTTTTGTAGTTTGATATAACAACATATATTATATATATACTTTGGTTGGTTCAACTTTCATTAACCAAAAAAAAGTGCATGTATGAGATCCTTCCATTGAATTCTTAATACTTATATAGATATGGATCTCGTAACCAGATTTTATTTTCTCGATTCACGGTCGCAATGTTGATATATATCAAACTAATACTTCATATATATATATATATATATATATTTACACATTCATGTATTTTTTATAGAATTCATAGGCTCAGACCCGACAGAGCTCAGACCCGACAGAGACTCAATGGCTCAATTAAAAAAAAATAGAAATTGAATAAGAAAACGACAATAACATGTAAAAAGAAATCGGCCTAATAGCAAGAGCAATGATTCAAATATTCATTACATTGCCGAGGTTACATTTATTCAACACATCACCTTACAACAATAACACATCGATTAGGGCATATTTCTATCGGATTAGACACTCAATTTGGTTCTCCATCATTAGAAAAATCGTAAAAAATATATCGAGAAATATAAATAAGAAAATCCACCCTCGAGGGAAGATCAAGGTAGAAAGAAAATTATTAAAAAGAGAGAGAGAGAAAAGGATAAGGGGAGATAATAAACAACTATATATGGGCGTACTTTTTTTTTTTATAATAAATAGATAAAGGGAGAGAGATTAGAATGTTATTATATATATTATAATTATAATATTATATATATAATTAATTAATTATGAAAGGCTCCGACCGTAATGAAGAAGCATGAGATGATGGGAGGTGGGGGAGTTCGGAAGCAAAGTGATGTGTTGTTGAGAAATGTTCTCTCTCGCCGATGTTCTCCAAATTCTGTCTCTCACGTCTTGCAGTGTCAACACGGGCTCCAGCTGCTCTCCTCTGCATCTTATTTCTACCTGTTTTTTTAATTATTTAATTTCCATATATATATACCAACAAAAAATATTATAATATAATATAATACGGTTAAATGTTTAATATAATAGCATAATCTTTATAAAAAAAACATGTGTACACTTATATATATGTATATGTATTGTGTGTAAGAGATAGAATAATAATAAAATTAGTTTTAAATATTAAATCCAATTCATATAAAATAAAAAATGCATTATTGTTATATGCTGTAGTATTTTTAGTCATATATATCATTTTTTTATATTTTATTATATATGTGTATGTATATATAAACTAGTGTTGATCACTAGGTGGGTGAGAATGAAATTAGGGTTCAAGGGGTGCAAATGAGATCATGGCGTCGTCGTGATGACGATGACTCGCGCACTGCCACGTGTCACGGCGGCTACGCAGACGCCCCCCGTAATTATGTCATCTCTCTATACTTTACTTCTAAGAGATTCCTCATATTCTAACGCTAATAAAATGAAGAAAGAAAAGAAAAAGAAAAAGAAATGGAAACATCGACTATACGACGACACCAATACTATTTAATAAAAGATGATACAGAAAAATATATAATAACGATATGTTATAAATTAACAAATTGGACCGTCGATGAACGTACACTTGCCCAATAATCATTTGGTGGCCCACCAATTTCTGTAACCCTCAAGCTATTTCCACGATTTTCCTCTGACTTTCTATGTCAAACATGCATATCTGAGTTTATAATGTATATACACACATATTGATATATATATATATATATGAAATTTTCATTTAAATATTGGATGGACCTAACTCGTCACATCTAGAGTCCCCAAAACTTCTCTATCATCTCATGCACGTCTTCCATTAACGTTTTGCTGACTCAGTAATGAGCCAAAAGTATTGAAACACGGCCAGGAATATACATGTATATATATATATATGTGTGTGTGTGTGACAAATAAGGGTTGACGAGAAAATAAAAATATCCTAGCAGGCATCGAATTTATTTATACTTATTTATACACATGATGATGAAAATATTCTAACGATAATATCCTACTGAGGACCCACAAAGATGTAAAAGAGGGAAAAATGATGTGAATTTATATCGAATAATAGGATACATAATAATAAAGTCGTAGTCGGGTATATAAAATTTTGCATGCATAGCATTCACCAACTTTGAAATGATATCGTTTTCATGGTCCCATATATGTCTTTAGTGCTTCTTTTTATTTTTCCTTTCTTTCATCAAATTGGAATGATTCTGCTGTTGAAATCGAATTCATGCATTGCTTTTCCCCGACGTAAAATAAATTGTATCTTATCATTTCAAACTTCATATTCATATATATATATATATATATACACATATTTATACTAAAATACAATGACCTCTAAATAGTTATACACACATACACACGCGCGTGTGTGTGTGTCTATATATACACGCACATATAGGTCATTTCTAGTTCGAAAACACCAAGTGACTGTAACATATGTATGTGTGTGTGTTTTTAATAAAGAAGTGAGTTTTTAAACTGTTTATTTATTTGGTTGGAGATGTAGAGGAAATTAAAGATTAGAATTAGGGTTTTAGAAAAGTGTAGCACTTTAGTGTATGATATGATGGGGCGTTTATTTTGGGGTTTTATAAAATAAAATAAAAGAGAAGGGACGATGAGCCACTTATAGCATAAGCATGACGATTCACGTCGCCTGAACTTTTATATATGCTGATAATTCAAATCCTACATTTTATTCGGAAAAAGAAAATAAAATGTGTTTTCAAAAACAAATTGAAATGTGATGGATTTCTTCAGCAATCCAGCAAAGACTCTAGGTGAGTTGGAGACTTCCAAAGTCTCTGAGCGAAGCAGAGGGTCTCCAAAACGCGGAGGGGCGTTTACGTCCTTTCCGGGCTTAATGAAACCCTAGTATCTTGGTTGTATCGTTCATTCGAACTTTTTAGGGTTTCGGTTGGTTTTTTTCGGCCGAGAGTTTGTCTCTCGTCCGGCGAGCCTTGCTTGCGGTTTTCCGGCCCGTTCCGGCGGTGTCCGGTGGTTTTCCCTTGTTGTAACCCTAGCAGAAACACGCGGCTTCCTCTTCCCGAGACGTAGGCCCGAGCTTTATGCTCGGTGCTGAACTCGTATATCCTCTGCGTCTTTTTCCTTTCGGTCTTGCACAAACGAGGGTAGATCGGAGAGATTGGTGAGGCGAACCTCGACCGGGGCTGATCCACAACAAGTGGTATCAGAGTCCGGTTACGGGGCAAGAAGCGGCGGCTCGACGGCGTCTCGATTCGTCTAGGTAAGGTTCATCCGGTAGGGTTTCGGTTCTGAACTTTCTGACGATTCTTCTTGAGAGTTTCAGGTATAGAAACAAGAAAAGGAGGCCGAAAATGGACAGATCGGAGGAGAAGACGGCGGTATCGAGCGGCGGATCGGCAGATCTGAGGTCGAGGTAAGTCGAGGTACGTCGGATTTGGGTCTGAGCTTTCTGATTGGGTGCGTGAGTCGTTTCAGATGGAAGAATCGAAGGAGCCGAGGCCACATCGTGGGAAATCGATGGCCAGCACCGGCGGAGAGGCTCAGATCGACGGCGATAGAGGTAAGTAACTCTCGGAACTAACTCGGACTGAGTAAATCGGCCGAGTTAGAACCCGAGGAAGGTGAGTCGTGATTGCGCGTGTGTCGATCTTGGGTTTGGGTGAGAAAACCGGTGAAGAACCGGTGATTTTCCGGCGAAATCGGCCGTGACTCACCAAGTCGCGGCTGAGTCGGAAAATCGGGGTGAGTCAACCACCGGGTTGACTCGGGTGACTCGACGGCTTCCGCAATCCGAAATTAGGGTTTTCGGTTTAAACCGGTTTAGCCGGTTTAAATCCGATTGGGTAATTAAACCCAGTTCGATTTTAAATCGAACCGGTTTTAGGTCGGTCAGGTCAAATCGTTGACCAAAATTAGTCAACAGTTGACCGGTTAGGTCAAACCGGACTGGTTCAGGTCAATTGGACCGGTTCAGGTCCGGTTTGGGGTCAATTGGACCGGTTCAGACCGGTTCGGGTCATTCCAGGTCCGGTTTAGGTCGATTGAGTCTGGTTTAAGTCATTCCAGGTCTGGTTTAGGTCAATTGAGTCTGGTTTAGGTCAATTGAGTCTGGTTTAGGTCAATCTAGGTCCGGTTTAGGGTAATTCAGACTAGTTTAGGCTGGTTTAAGTCTTGGTTAGAGTCTGATCTGTCCGGTTAGGGCTAGAATTGTCCGGGTTTAGATCAATTGGGTTCGGTTTAGGTAAATCAGACTTGGTATAGGCTGAAATAGGTCTGATTTAGGTCTGGTTTATCGGTATAGACTAATATTGATCAGGTTAGGTCTGAATTAGTGGTTTAGGACCAGATTAGATCGGTTTAGGGTCTGGAGTGTACAATTAGGACTAGAACTAACTGGTTTAGGGTTAGGTTAGTCTAAATTAGGGCTGATGGTGTTTGATTTAGGGCATAGTGGATTGGTTTAGGGTAGATTAGGGTCTGTAGTGATCGGTTTGCCCTGTTAGGTCGGTCTAGTATCCAAATTTGGCTTATTTTAGTGAAATATACTAAGGATAGACCTGTTTTAGATCTCGGTTTAGCTAATGTAGGTCATAGATTCCTGTTTCTGTTCAGTATAGGTCTGAATAGGTTGGATTTGACTACATTTAGTTGGGTAGGTGGTCTGGTTAGACTTAAATAGACTGATACAGGTCTGTAGTAGGCTGGTTTAGGTCTGATATAGGTCTGTAAGTGCTGTTTAGGTCTTAGTTAGGTCTGGTTTAGCCAAATTTGGGTTGGTCTAGCATGGTTCAGGTCTGATCAGTAGGTAATTAGGTCAAAATAGACTTGGTTAGGTCTGATTAGAGGTTTAGAATGTCTATAGAGACATTGTCTAGGTCTGATCAGATTAGAATCTGATTGTAGACTTAGGTATTATCTAGTTTAGGACTAGATAGGACTTCTAAGTACCAGTTTTGAGTCATAGAGTCCGGAACATTGACCGGTTAGGTCTGATTAGTTGGGATTTGACTAAAACGGGTTGGTTTAGGGGTTGGTTATGTCTAGGATCACTAGGTATAGGTCTGTAGGGGTCGGTTTAGATCAGGGCAGGTCTGTAGGAGTTAGTTTTAGGCATACATAGGGTCTGATCAGAATTAAATTAGGTCAATTAGGCTTAGTTTAGGTCTGATTAGGGTGCTAAAATCTAATCAGGGGTTGGTAAGTCATTAGGGTTGGCTTAGGTTTGGTGATTAGGACTTTTAGGTGTCTAACTAGGACTTATGGTCATCTAATCAGGGGTTGGTCAATTAGGGTTGGCTTAGGTCTGATTATGGTGTTGTGGTGGTCTAGTCGGGATTTTTGATTGTCTAACTAGGGCTGTTAGGGTCTAGGTAGCACTTGGGTAGGTCTGATTAGGACTTTGTGAGAGATCAGGTAGACTCGGGATCGTAGGACTTGTTAGGACTTTGTTGGGGGGCCATGTAGACTCGGTGTTGTAGGTCTGGTTAGACGTAATCAGGTTTGTGTAGCCTTAAGTTAGGTCTGGTTAGACGTAATCAGGTCTTAAGGTAGGCTGTGTTTCGAGTCTAATAGGTCGGTTAGGCAAAATTATGCCTAGGATAAGTCCAATCAGGTTTGTGCGAGAGTCTAGGAGGTCGGTTAGGTAGAAATATACCTTGTATTAAGTCCAAACAGGTCTGGTCTAGAGGGTGTTAGATCCGTTTAGGTAAGATGTACCTAGGGAGATGTCCGGTTAGACTTGGTTCAAAGTCCGTTAGATCGGGTTTAGGTTGAGTGTCTAGGTTAAGTCCAGTTAGGTCGTGTTCTCTAGGTCTTGTAGGTCTGATTAGGTAGAGACGTACCTAGGTCTAGGACCGATAGACTAGGGTTAGAACGTGTTTAAGCACGGCTAGGTAGAAATATACCTAGGGTTAAGTCCTCTAGGGTTCGGTCTCATCCCTCGTGTCATGTTACAT